TGATAGAAATGTAGCCATGTTAGTCTGGTGTAGCTGAAACTAAATACAGGACTATGTAGCACTTTAAAGACTAACAAGATGGTTTATTAGATGATGAGCTTTCGTGGGCCAGATGTGTGTGTGGGGGGGTGTTGGAATGCTCATAATATAGGTTTGTAATTAAAAAAAGGTGTGTCAACAGAGGGACTCGCAATACTTGACTATGCTGATGCAGGACAGGTGAGGTTTCTGTTTATGTAGCACATTGATAAGCATGATATAAGAACCTAGACTAGAGTTGCACATTGTAGTGTTTCTGTAGGCTGAGCTCATTGCACACACCAGTAGCTCCTTGCATTTCTTCATTTCCCCACAATTTGTAATTTGTAAAATTATGTATTTTCTCTCTGGGAGATAGGTCATTCAGGGTGTCATCATTTTAAATTCCATTGTGATCATGAGCAGAGCTGAGATGGGGAGGAGGGTGTAACCTAGACATTGTTAGTGGATGTCATCAAATGGTTCTTTGAATGCTAGACATTAGAGCTGGTGATGTGTTTGCTAACCAGATACTAGGAGCTGTGTGTATTCCCTACTTCCACCTTCCTGTTTTCTCATTTTCACCAAATCGGCCTGATTTTAATAGATTTTAGGATTTTCTGGTTTTCTGATTTTACTTAAGATCAACTGGTACTGCTCTTTGTTACCTAGAACAGTCCATGAAACTTGCAATTGACATTCTGTGGTTTTCAGAATATATCATGTTACAGAAATATAGACAAACAGAGAAATACCAGGTAGTTGAATGGTATTCAAAACAGAAAGATAAGGCCTTGCTTTACTTGGTGAATAAAATAGATAACCTAAAAAACGGATGTCGTTTTTATTGTATACACATAGCTGAAGTTGTGTCAGTCCCAGGATATTAGAAAGGCAAGATGGGAGAGGTAGTATTTTTTATTGGATCAACTTCTGTTGGTGGGAGGTTGGTAACATAAAAGTATTTTGCATTGTGATCTTAACCATTATAGCGTCCTATTTTTTATATACAAAACAACAAAAATTGAAAATTATTTTGTTTTATTTTTCTTCCTTTTTCTTAGCCCACTCTTTGTCTGGTATCTCACGTCTTGTCCTTTCAGCCCATGTCTCCTTTCTTCTGTTTTGAAAGAACCATTTGTATGGGGGAGGGAGACAATATGTTCACAGCTTGAACTTAAATTATTGAAGCTAGAGGCTAATTAGTCATATCCACTTGTTTTATCACTTGTTGGCTGAGGGAAAGCAAGAAAACAAAATGACACTGATTTCTTGAAGTAGACAATCATTCAAATCTGTTTTAAGAGGAATGTTAGCATTTATGAAGATGATCTGAACGAGAGGATTGTGGGGCTTCAGGCAAGCATCGGACCCCTGGGCTGGGACTCTTGCTGAAATTTCAGCTGTCTCCCCCCTACTTGCATCCAGCTTACTCAGCCCTTCATTATCACCCCAGTAAGCCAAAGAATTTAGAGCTTTAGGCACAGACGGAGAGTCTTAGGTGAAGCTTTGGCTGTTTTCAGTCCTGAAGTGCTGGTTTACCATATTTTTTTAATACACAATGTATGGAGAGAGTAAGTTTTAAAAGGATCCTGTAACTAAAGGTACAATCACTATCTAATAGCTAGAAGTAGAAGTAAAGACTGCCCTATTATACTGATGTAAGTATAGTTATTGTAGGAAATACTGCTTATGGATTTTGTCAATACAGTGCTTCTTGTATACCGTTAAAGCGTATTAAATAATGAATGTTAAATTCGTTCAAGTATTTTTAGGAGTCAGAATTCAGGAAACAGCAAGAGGAATATGGTATTAAAATACAGAAGCATGAGTCTACAAAATATCATAATTCAGACACAGTACATTACTGTTGATCCAGAAAAGAATAGTGCAAGGGAGAAGTAGCTAATGTGATTTCTTGTGGTATTGAGCAAGGACTTGAAGTTAAAAATAAAATACAGCTCTGTACTGAAAATTGAACATTGACAAGTGCAATGTAATAAGAATTCAGCCAATAAAGGCGTGCTGGGAAAAGATAAAGGCAGCAAAGCTGGAGAATGAGCTAATGCTAGTTGTGAGAATCAAGGGCAATAGTTAATGTTTTAGAAATTATCACGAAAAACTTGTAAGACCTGAGAGAAAGTCCATTAATAAGGACTAGCATTTGGTTTTTTCCAGAAACCTTGAATAAAGGGCAACACCTAGTTGTATTGCCAAGGAAAAACTTCATGGTGTCACAGAATGGTCCCTAATGGTCGGCTGTGCTGGGTGGTGAATTTGTGAGGGTATAAAGCAGGGATGGACAACCTTTTTCAAACCAAATTACATCAACATTTAGAACAAGTGGTTAACAAAGAGCCATTTGCATGATTGAAAATATACAACTTCTTATTATTGATAATTGACATGATTAATAATAGCATAAATGAAACGTACTCACATACTTTATTTAATGGGGCTTCTGCTGCTTCTGGGGGTGCAGTTTGTGGATGTGGGGGTGTAGAAGTAAGGGTTGGAGTGTATGAGGGGCTCAGGGCAGGGGGGCTGAGGTGTGTGGGAGGTGCAGGAGTCTGGGCAGGGCACTGGGGGTGGGAAGTAGAGTGTGGGGGGAGGACCCTGGGGCTGGATTACTTTACCTGGCTGGGGGTAGGCTGCTGCAGCTGGGCAGCAGTAGCTCGACAAGGGACCTGGCCAAGATCACCACAGCCCGATTATGGCCTCTCTTCCTACCCATGCTGCAGCAGGAGGGGGCTGCTGCTGCCAGCCCTTGGCCATATGGGGGTGAGGTAGCAGGGCCTATCCCAGGATCAGGGCTGGGGACTAGGGATGTTAAATTGAGTTTAATCAACTCATTAACTAGTCAATTAGTTAATAAGCGGGGGAAACTGTGGAGCTGCAGCCGGGTTAGCTCCTGGGCCCAGGAGCTAACCTTGCTGCAGCTCTGCCTTTTAAGCTGGCTCCCATCAGCACTGGCTCCTGCTCCCCCACCCTTTGCTTTCTCTCTCTGATAGAGGCAGCAAGAGGCATGGGAAGTGACTAGTTGAGTCACTAGTCGACTGTCCGATAAGTGTATGCTTATCAGATAGTCAGTCGACTAGTGGCTTACATCCCTACTGGAGTCAGGATGCTGTGACCAAATGGGGGCTGGGCACTTTTACTTTCTCATGTTAGTTTACCAAGCTTCATTTTAAATAAAGTAAAATGTTATGTTCAACACAAAAGGTTTCAACATTGTCTTTATTTAGGGCAGAGGTGGGGCACTTTTTTTGGGTCAGGGGCTCTGACTGCAGACCATATATTTGTCACCTCAGTCTTTCAGAAAACTATAGTTGTAAACTTCACAAGAGCTGATAGGACTTAATATGTGTTGTGGCTTAATGGGGCCAAATTCTGTGGCAAGAATTCTTCAATATTAGAGCAGGAACCCCTGATTTCCACAGAAGTGTCAGTACTCTTCATTCACATCCCTTTCTCCCCCCCGCCTCCCGGCAGGTACAGAATTGTGGCTTATTGTTGAAAATTTTCATATAAGATTCATTAATGACTATTTTTGGCAAAGGGTGATTTTTGACAGTGTTTTTTTACATTGTGCTCTCCAGAAGACTGGCTCCATAGGTTTTTTATTCTTAATGTTGTCCAGGAGACCTAATTCAGAACTCCGTTCCCTCATATGGGCTAGTGAAAGAAGAGTTTATTGTCAGGGTCAGCAGCCCAACCCAGCTTCTCTGGCACTGGCTATTGCACTGTTCTTCAGGATTGGCTAGCTACATTTCTGGTTTTCCCCTTCTTGGCTGCAAGCTGGATGTTAGCCATAGATAGGCATGCCCTTTAATTCAGCTTGTACAGCTTGTACAGCTAACTGAAGAACAAAAGGCAGTTGTAGGTTGATTCCAGCAAGCCAGGGAGACAGAAGATAAACTGTCAGATGCTTGGTTGCAGGAAATTGTGAACTCCACAAATGCAGAGTTTTGTGGAGTCTTGGGAAGTCATCAGATTCTGCAGATGTGCGTCCATTGAGTTCATGGGATGTTGATAGAGGTGAATGGGTTAGATTTCACAGCCAGGAGGTATTATTTCAGGCTGTCTGCATACTCTGGAAAATCACCACTTCATTAAGTTATACTTGTTTCACATTTTCCAGGTTCTGCAGTCAGGAGAGCTAGAAGATTAATTTTTAAATGATGAAAGCTCAGTTCTTAGCTCTGTAGTGAAGAGTAAACTCCATAGCTTTGGAATACATAGGGCCCTGCATGTAATGACAACTATTACATTAGGGGTTTGGAACGGGTCCCATATGAGGAGAGGTTAAAGCTGGGACTTTTCAGTTTAGAAAAGAGGAGACTGAGGGGGGATATGATAGAGGTCTATAAAATCATGAATGGTGTGGAGAGGGCCGATAAAGAAAAGTTATTTATTAGTTCCCTAAATAGAAGAACTAGAGGACACCAAATGAAATTAATGGGTAGCAGGTTTAAAACGAATAAAAGAAAGTTCTTCACACAGCGTGTAGTCAACCTGTGGAACTCCTTGCCAGAGGAGGCTGTGAAGGCTAGGACTATAATAGAGTTTAAAGAGAAGCTAGATAATTTCATGGAGGCTAGGTCCATAAAAGGCTATTAGTCAGGGGATAAAATGGTGTCCTTGGCCTCTGTTTTTCAGAGGCTGGAGAGAGATGGCAGGAGACAAATCGCTTGATCATTGTCTTCAGTCCACCCTCTCTGGGGCACCTGGTGCTGGCCACTGTCGGTAGACAGGATACTGGGCTAGAAGGACCTTTGGTCTGACCCAGTATGGCCGTTCTTATGTTCTTATGTAAAAGTATTGTCTATAGAAGTATTCCGTTATTAATTAAACCAAAAATATTCTGATGCATGTGCCACTGGAAAGTGTTAGATGCTAGTCCAGTAATAGTTTTGAACTTTAACAATGGCTGTTCCCTGAATGTCATTCATACCCTTCCTCACTTTTAGGCCTACAGCATCAGCATTATTGCAAGTATGTGTATGTTTTACAAAAATTATACCGTATATTTTAATATTTCTTCTTTTTTTTTAGGTGATACTGTTACTATTGGAGATGTGTCATTTACACTCAAAACTCCAAAGAGCCCAGAACTTGTGCCTCTGAACTACGGTAAGAAACCACTTTCCTTTATCTAGTGAATATATAATGTGTCTGGAATATTGGGGCCCAGTCCTATAAATCCTTACTCTCATGCAAGCAATATGTCTCAACTTATCCCTCAATATCTTAAAGCAGAAACTGAGAAGAATATATTTTTTAAAGGGATGCTGCTTAAAATTGTATTGGGTCTTCACCTTCCTCTGCCACCCCCATTAAGAGAGAGGCTGAGGAAGTGGAAATTCTTGTGGTGGGCCTGTTGCTGGTGCTAGGGATGCAGGAGTTGATATGGTAGGATTGTGGTTGCACTAAAGTGTTTCGATTTTTAGACAATATGGTCTTACCTCATTCCTACAGATAGTCCTGAGGTTACAGTACTTTTTGGATAAGTTACTTATGTTCGTTATTGTTAATATCTCAATCTTCTTAAGTTGGCAATCCCTTATTTGAAGTAAAGTATTTAATATTTCTATAAAAGTCAGAGTAAAAATTTATTGATAACAATAGGCCTATGAAATGTAACTGTGTACATGTATTGAGAGGCTGACAGAGGCATGTCTGCCTACTTTAAAAGTGATGTGCACCCACTTTGTAAGGTGTTCTCCTTCTCAGATAATACAATATAATATTAAACATTTTCTTTACACCAGCCTACATACACAGGGGTAGCAACCTATAATACTGTGTACATTCTTTATGTGCCGTTAAGTGTATAACTTACACAAAGTGCATAGCAAACTCTTCTTATATATCTTACAAAGTTAAAAATATAGTGCCAGATCCTGAACTGGAGTTAGTCAGCTTAGTGCCATTGAAGCCAACAGAATATACTGAATAATAATGAACATTTTGTGGCATATATATGAAATCTCACTTTGGACGAGTTTGCCTCATCCCCTAAATTGCACCTAAAAAAAGATTTATTATTGGTAATAAAGTAAATGTGTAGTGCTGGTGGAAAAAAAACAGATGTATACTTTAGAGTTAAGTATATAACCACATAAAAAGTCCATATTGTAAGACAATATAGTTGTACTGGGTGATTGTGACAATGAAAATAGTGTAAGTACACAACAAATAATATAAGTTAGATGGATTTGTGCAGTGTAAGTTGCTAAAGAAAGTGTAGAAAAAATGTGATCACTTAATTATGCACTGTGCTGTAATGCATAGGCACTAGAAGAGGTGAGGTCATATGTACAATCATAACCAGGGCTCGCCGAGCGGCGGCAAGCCCCGCTCGCCAGCCGCGTGGTTCTGCGCATGTGCAGATCGTTTTGCGCATTCGCAGACTGCTCTGCACCGGCTCTTCCGGGGTGTAATCTACTCTCCACAGGTGAGTAGATTACATTGTTTGTCGAGCCATGATCATAACTTCATAATTTCCTGAATTTGAGTGCTTAACTGGGTAATTTATACATAGTTAATGTAGAGCAGATATGTATAGAGAGGATCAGTGATGTATAGAAGTTAAAGTTTAGTACAGAAAGATTTTCTGGCAAAACAAGAGTGTATGTCATGAGAGTCCTTCAAGAATTATACTTCCTTGATGACTTTTCAGCATTTATTTGAAAATATTGCCATGATTGATTTTGAAAATAGTTTACTGACGTTTGTACTTAATACATTTGAATTGATACAAATTGAACTTGCATGCTATTAGAATGATTGGGGATGAGTAAATAAAGAAACAGTTTCCGAGCTCCTGTCTACTAAATATATCAGTAAGGAATTCTGCTTATGGTGTCATTATTCCTAAAAAAACCCATTAAATTTTGTAGGAATGTAATGTAGTAGGTTAAGATTTACTGGTATGGTGTCCTGACAGGGCTCCTGATCTGTCAGTAATGATAACCAGAAGGCTCCATGCATTTGTGCTCAATCATGTGTGCTGTGTTGACTTGTGCAGTTAGTTAACACAGCAGACTCTGAGAGAGCCTCCAAAGACCACAAATCAGATAAGGATTGAAGGTGCTCGGCCAGGTATATTGTTACTGTTACGCGAAGGACAGTGTAATAGTTGTCAGTAGATGCTACCGAACCACTATGCATATGTACCAGTAACAATAGACTCAGCTCAGTCAGTGGGAGGTCCCACTGCCGGGTAGGCTGGACAAAGACTGCCTCGCAAGATACTACTTTATATGCAGGTACAAACAAGTTACATATCACTCGTGATGTGTCAGGTTGCCTCCCTCTGATGCTGTCAGGTTTCCATCGTCTGATGCTATTTGGATACCACCCATCACCCTGCACCTCTTGGTTCGATTAGAACATTTCTAGCCATCATGCTGTCAGTTTAGACCCTTTCCTGAACCTGGGTAGGTATCTGTGGGGAGTGTGGGCACAAAGATTTTTTTAATGAGCTGATGGTACCATCCTTTTGGAATATGCTTTCAATTTACGACCAGTACCAATTACTGTTCTACAGTAAGTACCTAGTACCAATTACTGTATGAGCTGATGGTACCATCCTTTTGGAATATGCTTTCAATTTACGACCAGTACCAATTACTGTTCTACAGTAAGTACCTAGTACCAATTACTGTACTATACCTCGGCCTATTAATAATTAGTGTTTTACACTCTCAGCCCTATTTGTGCCAAGTTCTGTGAGCAGAGATCTGCTTCTTGCTCACAGCTTAGCTTTGCTTTTAATTAGCCAAGTGTTTTCCATTGTTAGCTAGACCTCAGGCCTCAAACCAGGTCTGTGCTACCTGGGCTTTTGTTTCAGGCCCTCATCTTACTACATTTAATAATCAGTATTTCTGTATATTAATAATCCAGGATAAATACTGCATGCTGCTTAAATAGGATCAGGAGAACCTGAGTGCGCTGGAGTACCCCAGAGAGCCCCAGAATGCCCCAGAGACTTTAGAGATTTTTTTTTGTATGCTGTACAACATTTATGTTCTGTTCTACAAGACAGTTTGTTTTGCAGATGTTGCTGTACATTCTTGTTTCTATTTCTGGCACTGCTTTCAAGTCTGACCCAAGTTTTTTCTGGAGGCCATCCTAAAAATAAAACTGGCTATACATATTGTTGTGAAATACACCAAAGGCATTCACAGTCACGCTGCATGACAGCTGCCTTTGCTATGCTTTTATTACATTTTTTTTTAAATCATAGAGTTCAGTTTTACTGCAAGATTTCCTAACTACTTAAAACTTGATTGTATGTGGATATTGTAGCCTTCTTAATGAAGAGCTGTCATAATGAAAACACACATGAAGCAAGTTCATAAAACAAGTTAAAGAATGTAATTAATGCCTTTCAAGGATGGTCTGCATCTTTTAATAATTAGATTAAGTTAATTAAGTAAAACAATTTCATATTTGTGGTTATATTTTTAAAAGCAAATACTTTTTCAGCCACTATAAATAGCAGTTTTTAGGTAGTACAGATTTTCTGATTTGCCTCCTCACTTTTTTAAGCAAATACTTTTTCAGCCACTATAAATAGCAGTTTTTACGTAGTACAGATTTTCTGATTTGCCGCCTCCACTTTTTTAAACTGTGTCTTATAATGAAACTTTTTAAAAATTTCCCAAAGTATCTCATAAAAAGCTTCACACTATTAAGAACGTTAATCTGTACAAGTATGGCCAGTCTCTCAAGGTCCACATAGCCCAGTATTCTGTCTTCCAACAGTGGCCAATTCCAGGTGCTTCAGTAAGAATGAACAGAAGAGGAAATCATCCAGTGATTCATCCCCTGTGGGTCATTCCCATTCTGGCTAACAGAGCCTAGGGATCCCATCTCTACCCATCCTGGCTAATAGCCATTGATGGACCCGTCCTCCATGAATTTATCTAGTTCTTTTTTGAACCCTGTTATAGTCTTGGCCTTCACATCATCCTCTGGCAAAGAGTTCCTCCGGTTGACTGTGCATTATGTCAAGAAATATTTCCTTTTGTTTGTTTTAAACCTGCTACCTATTAAGTCATGTGTATGTTACTGTAGGAAGTTGATCTAAGGTATGTAATTACAGCTACATGAATAACAACTGGAGTCAACATGGCTTAGATAGAGTTACTGTGGGATCTGTATGGTAGGGGTTGATGGAAGAAATTCTCTTGTCAACTTGCCTTACTCTTCTCGTACAGCTACATGAATAACAACTGGAGTCAACATGGCTTAGATACAGATCCCACAGTAACTCTATGGTAGGGGTTGATGCAAGAAATTCTCTTGTCAATTTGCCTTACTCTTCTCACTGTGGGTAAGGTACTAAGGTCGACTGGAGAGTGATCTGCTGTCAATTTGGTGGGTCTTCACTAGATGCACTAAATTGACTGCCAGTGCATTGATCTTGACATGTCAATTCCGGCTGCAGCGTAGATGTAGCTTTAATTTCATTTGGTGCCCCCTAGTTCTTGAGTTGTGTAAAGGAGCAAATAACATTTATTTACTTTTTCCACACCAGTCATGATTTTATAGACCTCTAGTATGTCCTCCATTAGTCATCTTTTATCCAAGCTGAAAAGTCCCAGTCTTATTAATCTGCCCTCATATAAAAGCTGTTCCATACCCCAATCATTTGCCCACAGTGTTCAAGAAGTGGGTGTACAATGGATTTATATATATAGGTGATATGATATTTTCTGTCTTATTTATTCCTTTCCTAATGATTCCCAGCATTCTCTTGTTCTCTGTGGGAATTTATTTTTTTAATTCCACAGTGTGTATGTGTTATATAGGCAATGCATATTGCATTTAACAAAAATATTATTCCAGTGTAGATACATTTGTGTGCTGATACCAGATGGAACAAACAATACATTGTCATTTATGTGTCAATAAATAATCTGTTGTTTAAAAACACTTACTTGAATTGTGTGTTTCCTTTGGTTGTGTAATACAAATGTATACATGGTTTTATACAATTTGTGCTTAGGGCCCAATAGTGTTCCCTTGGAAACCAATTGGAGGAATCTGATTGAGTTCAGTAGAAGCAGGATCGAGCTTTTAGTAGTTTTCTTTGATGGCAAGTCAAAACATTCAGCTTAAAA